TGTTTTTTAATCCCAACTTTCACCAATTTATTTTTATTAATCCCAACTTTGGATTATTCCTCAATAATCCCAACTTTAAGGTGGGTTATCATTCTTCATACCCAAACCGGTCAACAAAAATCAATAACCTTCTATTGTAGGCTGTTGGACACGTGTCACCACGTGAGTGGTCCATTTTTTTTTTTTTTTACTGAACCAAATTATTTTTTTTAGAAAAGAAAAAAACAGAAACTTAATTTTTTTTATTTTTTTTATTTCCCCATTCCCTTTAACAGCCCCTCCCCTTCCACCTCCATTAATGGCAGCCAGCGAGCCACCATCCCCTCCATTTCCGGCAGTCCCCCTATCCCCTCCATTTCCAGCAACCCTCCTTCCCTTCCGTTTCCGGCCGCCCTTCCACTTCCCCTTGAAACCCCTACCCGAAACCCACCTGAAATCCCCTTTCCTCTTCCCTTCCCTTTCTCCTCCATGACTTCCGACCACCCAATCGAGCACCCAAACCCCTCGAATTCCAGAAAAAACCCACCCACCTTATCGAAAAACCGCCAAAAAAATCCATCCCATGGCCGATTTTGTTGTTGATGATGATGATGATCAGGTGGGGTTTTGGCGTGCTTGGGGGAGTTTTAAGGGTGGCTAGGGAATCTTCGAGGTGTTTTGTAGTTTTTTCAGGCGTGTTTGTGGGGTTTTTTCGCGGCAAAGGGGGTGTGGGGTTGGGGTTTCGAAGCTGAAGGACGGTGGGGCTAGGGGTTTCGTGGTGGCAGGAGGGCGCGACTGGGGTTTCGGGGAGGCAAGAGGGTGGGGCTAAGGGTTTCGGGGTGGCAAGATGGTGCTGTTGGAGGTTTCGGGGCGGCAAGGGAGTGGAGCTGAGGGTTTCGGGGCGATAGAGGGGTAAGGCTTGGGGTTTCAGGGCAGTAGGGGTTGTGGCTAGGCGTTTTGGGGCGGTAAGAGGGTGGCAGCAATGGGGGGAGCTATTCAGGTTGCAAGGTGTATTTAGGGTGGTGGTTGTAGTGGTTGACTAGTTGGCATAGGGGGATGGGGGGAGCAATTTAGGTGGCAAGGTGTATTTTGTTGTTTTTTTTAATTAAATTTTCATTAACTAATTAACTTGTGACACGTGTCACTTAAACAAAAAAAAAAAACCATTCAACCAGTCACCGGTTTTTGGGATTGAAGAATGATAACCCACCTCAAAGTTGGGATTATTGAAGAATAATCCAAAGTTGGGATTAATAAAAATAAATTGATGAAAGTTGGAATTAAAAAATAGTATTTAACCAATTAAAAAAATTTAACCATTTTATTTTATTTTTGTAGAAAATCAAAACAAAAAAAAAAGTATTGTATAGTAGATCAAGACAAGGCATAAGTAAAAAAAAATAGTACTCTTATATTCGTATTTTAGTACTTTTATGTTCATATTTTGTAATTGCTATTATTCATATTTATTAAGAATATGTTCAGATTTTTTTACCTAAATGTTCAAAAGTATAGGCATGGTACATTGCGATTGTTCAGATAATTTCACTAAATGTTCAAAATTTGCGCTCTTCGGATTTTTTTTTACAAAATGTTCAAAATTTGCAATTGTTCAGATCTTTTTACTAAATGTTCAAAAGTATAGGCGTGGTCCATTGCGATTGTTCATATATTTTTACTAAATGTTCAAAATTTGCGATGTTCGGATTTTTTTACTAAATGTTCAAAATTTGCAATTATTCAGATTTTTTACTAAATGTTCAAAAGTATAGGCGTGGTGCACCTATTTTTAGATGGACTAGGGTCCATAGAAGAATTTGCGCACTGGTCGTTCTATGTTCTTCCATTGGGCCGGTCTTTCGGAGCCCTGAAATATGACCCGGGTTTCATAAAATATCCAAATAAACAAAATCAAACTATTCGGGCCCAAAAATAAATCCTCCAAAATTAGGGGTGACAATTCAGGTCAGCAGGTCGGATTCGGGTCAGATTTCGGGTTATACTTAGAAACTATCAAAAATAGTGTAAAACTTAATATTATTACGAAATATGAAATTTGGGTTAAATTGGGTCGAATTTGGGTTGTTCGGATTCGGTTCGGGTTGGATTCGGGTTTCTCCTAGTAACTTCGGGTCGGGTTTGCCAGCTCTACTCAAAATCCCCCAAATTCACCCCTTTATTTCATCTTTTTGTCTCTCAACACTCAATTTAGGGTTTTATTCACCTAATTTTGTGTCAAATTAATCGTTTATAACTTCAATTTTTTTTGTAAATTTTCGGTACCCAGAATTTCAATTTTAGGGTTTATGAATTGATTTATGGCTCGAAGCGTTTCGCGTTCGCCGTCGCATAGGCGGCGATATTCTCCGTCACCTGTTAGCCACCGTCATAGCCGCCGTAGCAGGAGGGATCGCAGCCGGTCGCCTGTTAACCGGTGATTTTATTATCGCTCTTTTTATTTATATATTGTTTTTTACTAGTTAATTGTGTTTAAAATCCTTTTAATTTTGATGGTATTATTTTGCCTGATATAAATTTTAGTTATTTTTGTTTGCATTTAGTTGCTGTGACTTATTACAAATCAGAAATTTTTGGTGCAATTTTGAGTTAATTATTGGTGAGTAATTGTTTTGATGCAACAACAAGGTGGGAAAAAAGTTTGTTTATTTAAATGATCCAAAATTTGGGAAACTACATTACAATTTTCGGGATTATTTTGATTTTTTTTGGGGCCCAATTTGAAGTGTTGAATCCTCCTTTTCGTGTCCGAGTGGCTAGCTCTTTGATATGACTAGCATTAGCAGGAATTGGCTTTAGCTCATTCAGATTGATTAAAGTGTGATGTTGCTTTTGTTCTATTGGTGCATACGATTCTTGTCGGTCGTGGATTTTATGAGTGAAGTGCATGCTGCTAGGGATGTGTGGATTGGTGTGTGTTCAGTGCTTAATGGAGATCATGGATAGACTCTAAGGACAACCTCTGGAGTTTCTTGTTGATGAATTTATATTTTAGAGGGTGTTGATGAATTGAAATTAAGGATTTCAGGATTACTTATTCCAATATTTAAAACTGGAAGTGCATATTGTCATGATGCATATGCACTTGCCCACTAGGATGCACGGAAACGGATACGGACACGGACACGGACACGATACGGACACGGGAAAACGGCAATCCTAAAATAGGGGACACGGGTACGGCGTATAACAAGGCATATAATATATTAAAAAAACGAGAATTTGACAACTAATTCAATAAAACACTAAATAATTAGCCTCAAAACACACAATTTTAATTAAACAAGTAAATGAACAAAGTGTACGGACATAGTCGGATACATATCAAGAAACCATCAAACCAGACATGTCTTAATAGTACTCTTCAAGTAATCAAACAAAACTAGAAACATAACACAAAATCAAACATCTCATCAAGTAATCAACAAAACTGTCAAAACACGGTGGTGGGCGGTGGTTGTCTGGCTGACGACGAACAACAAATTGAATTATTGAAGCAATTGAATTTCAGAAAATCAGAAGTTCTTACACACTTACACTGATTAAAACCCTAAAAAATTCCCCAAATTAGCATTACTCGAATTCACTTCAGAATCACAGCAATTGTTGAATGGCAGAAATTGAGCTCTAGTAAAGATAACAATGGAGCTCAATTGTTGAATGGCAGAACACCAAGAAATAAGCACGAAAAGGCTGAAATTGAGCTCCATTAAAGACAACAATGGCGGAGACTCAGAAAATGAAGACCGATTAAGTTCTCTCCCAGACTCCATTCTCACCGACATTCTCTCACTTCTCGACATCCAAGGATGCATATTCAGGACTTTAATTGAATTTAAAAAAAAAAAAGTAGAGAAGAACCATACCTGGTGGCTGACACGGACGACGGGCGACAAGGTGGGCGGTGGAGTGATAGGTGGTGGCTGAGGACGAGCAGGCGAACAGCAAGGGCCAGGCCAGCAACTCCAGCAACCCCCGCAACAATGAGAGATGAAGGCCACGAGCAGCAAGGGCCAGGCCAGTAACCCTGACAACCGGCAAGGAGGCGAGTGGCGGTGACGGAGACAGCAAGCCGGCGGTACGGTGAGACCTACAAGTCGGCGACTGAGCAAGTGAGCAGCAAGGGGTTCAGTTGAGACTTGAGAGGATGAGAGGATTGAGAGTTTGAGAACTGGAAACTTGGAAAGAGGTAGAGAGGCAAAGCATAGGAATTTAGGTATTTCGCGTGTCCATACCAAAACGGCCCGTGTCAGCCCAAGACACGGCCCGTGTCCAAAAATCAAAAACGGTTAAAAAAAATCGGACACGGTTTTCTGCGTGTCGGACACGTGTCGCCCCGTGTCTCATCCGTGTCCGTGTCCGACACGCGTGTCGACTCGGACTCTTCAGATTTTTGGCGTGTCCGTGCATCCTTGCTTGCCCACTTGGGTTAGGGGGGGATGATTGAAAGACTTTAAACTGAGGTTTATTGATAAAATAGGACTGCTGGTTTTTAAAGCTTTTAAGATCTTCTGTTTGTATATTGAGTCAAGTTGTGCTTTACGCTTTGAAGACATGATTTCTTGTATATGTACCGATAGTTGTTTAATTTATCTACATATGTTTTTAGTAGTGGAAGTCACCTTTTTTACGAGAGTTTTTGGAGCATTAATTTTTTGTTATATTTGTACATGTATGGATGCATAATTATTATACTCCTCTGATGTTGATTAGATGGTGGCCTGGTGTGTGCTATGGAGATTCGTCATAGATAAAATTTGCTATCTGCTTCAATATTAGCAGTTTCATTTTTTCTGACGGCAATATCTCTAATAGTGGTACTTCAGCTATTTGCTTAAAAGTTGTGTTATGAGATTCATAATGTTTACTTTGTAATAGGCTATCAAATAGGCCTTTTGTGGCATGTCTGAATAAATTTCCATGTAAAAAATTGTGTTCTGATGCTAGAAATTTGTCTGATATCTTAGGCTAGAAGATATAAGCTAAAAGTAATTTAATTCTCATTGAAAAGGTATATGGAGATGAGAGTTTTCTGGACTTGGTGTGTTCATAAGATTTATTGAAGAAGATCCCACCCAAACAACAAAGTTTGAGAGAGGGGAAGAAATTCAAAAGAATTGGGGCTAGAGGATGAAGAACTCTAGCAGAATTGAATCACATAAAAAATGTGGTCAGCTTTGGTTGTTGACATATTGGCCGGAGCCTGGTGGTCTGGTGGAAGATGCCACCAAACCCCCCAAAAAAATGATGCTTTCAAGCATTTTTGTAAGGTGCTTCTTTAACAATAAAGTTAGATATGAAAGGTGCATAATGACCTTTTACATTTCCCAGAACAAATGATGGACCAGGGAAAATAATTTGTGGCAAAGACAAGATATGGGCCATAAAAACCTGTACTGATGGGAAATCAATCTCTTTTTACTTTCATCCCAAAGTTTAATTTCTGATACATTTATGGGGCAAGCTTGAAACCTTGAATATATTGAGTACATCCTTAAAAGCTCGGGTTGTATATTGAGCTGACTATTATCTTATGCAGGCGAAGAAGCCGGTCAAGCTCCCCACGTCGTCGCAGAAGCCGTTCTCCTGTAAGGCGTCGTAAGAGCCGTTCTCCGACAGCACGGCATTATAGGAGGAGAAGAAGTAGGAGTTCATCTGCGTCTCCTCCACGCAAGTCCCGTAGTCCAAGTGTGGCATCAGCTGATCGCAAGGAGGCCATAAAGAAACAAAAGAAAGAAGAAGAAGAAAGGAAAAGGTTGTTTCATTAATGTGCCATCATATGCTCTAACTTACCACTCATGATGTCTATTTGCTTTTCTATGTTTAAATCTGGACTAAGCTCAACTAGTTAGGGTAGAGCTGCTTCCTGCTTACTTAGCTTTCCTCTAATGAAAAAGTTAATAGTGGGATTCTATGTGGTGCTGACTCTTGTTGCTTCATCTAGTTCTGTTTGAAGTTCTGCATTAGTGTTTCAGAGATGAAGTCAATCAACTTCGTGCTGCATTTTTTGTATTAGTTCTTCCATCCATTTGATTGGACTTCCCTGCAAGTATATCGCCTTCATTAGTTGTGAAGTATCAACCTTGTCTCCCTTTTGCCTTGTGCCTTTGTGTGCTTCTTTGGTCAGACCTGAACCTTTCCTTGCAGCTATCCCTCTGATATGTAGTCTTCTTTCATATCTTTTAAAGCTGATTCTGACGCGTGCTTCTGTTGGATTTATAATTAGATCTAAATATGCTACAGGTTGCTTGAGCTTCTTTACCGGGTTTTCTGAAGGAAGCTACTGCTATATTTCAACTTATTATTTTGATGATCTAGTGCTGCGTCGTTTAACTACTGTTCCCAGTGTTAAATATCTCATGTGTTATGGACCAGCCACCTGTTAGAGAGGTATGGCATTGCATAAGCTAGGGTACAACTTGCTAAAGTGTGGAGCATTACGTAAGCCATTTATCTTACTGAAGGCTAAGCTCTCTGCTGACTAGTGAAGATAATCTAAATGAAAGGAAGAATATGCATGCTGTGAGATCGTTGTTGTTCATCACACTTATGGATTGTCAGAGTTTTCTATAGCACCCAGTCTTCAGTTGTACTTGACTTTGTGTTATTTTTTCAACCAGGATCCAACAGGAAATACAGCTCAAATTATTAGAAGAAGAGACGGCTAAGAGGATTGAAGAAGCTATACACAAGAATGTTGAAGAGAAGTTGAATTCTGAAGAAGTGAAGTTAGATATTGAAAGGCGCATAGAGGAAGGCCAGAAGAAAATGTTTGATGATGTTGCTGCTCAGCTTAAGAAAGAGAAGGAAACAGCTCTCATGGAGGCAAGGCAGAAAGAAGTAAGTATACTACTATTATTTATTTTATTTTTATTTTAGGGTTTTTCTATATAGTAACCTTGTTAATTTCGTTTTTCTACGTTGTGCCCCAACATATATCACTTTCCACATTGTAACCCCAATATACATTTTGTTTCCATATGGTAACCTTGCCGTTATCTCGCCGTTAAAAAATTCCGTTAATGGGGCCCACTCTCCATTTATATATATATTTTTATTGATTTGCGCGTTGGAAAATATTCCATTAAAGGTTTTGGGGGCTATTTTGGCTCTTATGGGTCCAAATTGAACTCAGATTTTACAAAAAAGTAACGTTAATGCCTCGTTTTGCGTATTAAACCTTGAACACGTAAATCGAGACATTTCTTAATAAGCAAAACGAGGCATTTAAGTTAATTTTTTGTTAAAAGGGCTAAAATAGCCCCCAAAACCTTTAATGGAAGATTTTCCAACGCGCAAATCGATAAAAAAATATTAATAAATGGAGAGTGGGCCCCACTTACGTAATTTATAACGGCGGGATAACGGCAAGGTTATCGTATGGAAACAAAATGTATATTTGGGTTACAGTGTGGAAAGTAATATATGTTGGGGCACAACGTAGAAAAGTGAAATTAAATGAGTTACTATATACAAAAACCCTTTATTTTAATTTATTATTTTTTTTTTCCGTGACGTCAGATTTGGTTTATTTGTCGTGTGAATGTTGGTTGCGTCTGGTTGGACCATCATTTGTCTATTGGTAATTGAATTTTTATAGTGTGTTTGATACAGTAAGGCTTTGTTCCCCAAAACTCATTTTTGCTGATCTGTTGCCTTTTTTTTTGAGACAGCTATATAAATTATTTTTTGTTGAGCTAAACTTATTTAGATAGTTAGCTTAGCTCAGATAATATAAGTTTAGACAATGAAGCTCAGCAAATTTCTGACAAACAAAGTTCAGCTAAATCAAGTTAAATTGAACAGAGCCCTAAACTTATTTTTGCTGAAAAAGTATTGTTTATTCAAGCAACTAAGCCTATATTTTTTTCTAAATATGGTATTCCTTAGGACAACTATATTTACCACAGAAATGTGTCCTCACTCTCCTCAGAACCATGATACCGATTGTTTCTTATTTTCTTACTATCAATTGTTTCATCTGCTGTGCTAATATCCATTATTTATAATTGTCACCAAGGTCATTTCCTTATAATGAAAAAAAAAAATCTTTACCTTTAGTTGGACTATCACGCATCCATTTGCAAAACTAGTGAATCGAATCAAGTGAGAAAGTATCTAAGATAATAGTTGTGGAAGTGGGTAATACTGATGGAAGTGGGTAATCCTGATAATATTGTCAGAGGAACATATATGGCCTTTATTTGTGATTGCTTCCATTATGATTTAATTTGATTAATCTTGAGAAACCCAAGTACCCAACCCATTAGAATTGTTTGTCATTAGGGTGTCTTGATATTGCTGCCATCTGAACGTATGTATAAAATTCTATTAAGGAACAAGCACGGAGAGAGCGAGAGGAGCTAGATAAGATGCTTGAAGAGAATCGGAGGAGAGTGGAAGAGGCTCAGAGAAAAGAAGCTCTAGAGCTGCAGCGGAAATTGGAGGAACGCCAGCAGGAACTGGAGTTGATTCAGCGACAAAAGGAAGAAGCTGCTAGAAGAAAGAAACTGGAAGAGGAAGAGGAGCGAGCCAAACAGATACTGTTGGCTAAAAATAGAGCCCAGTCTAAAGCATCATCTGCTGTTGGCTTATAATAGTCTGTCCACTAAATTGTTATAATATGTTTAGTAATGTATGTAGTGCTAGCTTCTAAGGTCAAGAAGAGCTTTTGGTTGTACTATTATATTGTTGAAAGCTTAATGCCAATTAGTGTTTTTCCTGCTGTTTGTTTCAGTTTAACATGCATTTGGCTGTTACATCAGAATTAGTAACCATACTCGATAGCGTAGCTAATTACTTCAATCAAATCAACATATATTAACAGGTTAGAGATGTGTCAATATTGTTTCTGATGTTAGGGCATTTTCTTGTCAGCAAACATTCCATATGCTCTGAACTGTATTGGAGGTAGACATTTCAAACAATTTGGTCAGGTTTCATTTTTACGGTTAATTTTAGTATACAGGGCAACTTTCAATTGAAGATGAAATGATTTGTCTTATCTTATACACCTCTCTTATTTTAGAATCGTTACTTGATCTGCAAACAAAATCCGCTTCGCAGTGTGCAGGCAAGACGATTTTAAACTGTGAACAATCCGCAGCGCGCAGCCATGCAGGCTGGCAAGACAACTTTAGAGTGTGAGCAATGCGCAGCACGCAGCCACGCAGGCAAGACAACGGATATAGTATTTCTCAGCTAGTATGTGGTTGAGAAAATAAGCATATTTGAAGGCTTGAAGCAACTGCTGTCAAATGATCAAACGGAAGAAGGCGAAGATGGTGATTTCATGCATAATGCTTCAAACCTAACCTAACAAAAGTTCATTGACATAAACAAGACAATGCTTGGAAACCAAATAAGTAGACCAAAGTTGCATGAGTATACCTTGTAACTTATAGAGGAAGTAGTTAGTTTACCAACCTTATGCCTCATTCTTATCCAATCATATTTTTATTAATGATAATAAATATCAATTAATGGCTGAAATTTTAGCAAATATAAAAGAGAATTTGAATCTTAATGGTGAAGGCTGTTGCCTTGCTGCAAAGCAACCATGATTGATTGCATCTATTTACCTTATAATAATAGATATTGATGGATGTAGGTCCATGATCGAGTCTGTTTTACTACAAATTCTTAATGCTCAACCCTAGTAACATTCTTAATCACTTGTCTACATCAAGTTCATAGACTCATGCGGCATATGTATGTACTTGTCATCTTTCTTTTAGGTGTACTCGGGTGTACCATATAATTTACAATGGTGATTGATGAGGCTTCTACTTTCGTGATATAATAATAAGGAGAATTAATTAATTAATTTCAACGAATCATATATATGTTCATTGAAACTGATTAAGAATTGTCGAGTAAAAGCTAAGATGCCACAATACAACATTTTAATTAGTGTTTAACAGAATCATTTAATTACAATTTACAAAAGAATAGTGTGAATTACAAGATTTTATAAGAAAAAAAACATAGAAAAGTTGTTCTAGATGTAGAAGCCATTATTACAAATGGCACTCAAGTAGAAACTTGAGATGATATAGTGCATATATAGTTGCACAATCTTAGTCTTTATTCTCATTTTTCCTAACCACCAAACCGGCAAATACATCCATGAAGTTGTAAAAATCCCACCTTCTACTATTCAACTTAATTAATTAGGCGAATAAAGATTTAATTGTTTGCCTAATTTTCCTTTCTCATTCTTAAGTAGGTTTTGGTTCTTCCTTAAATTCTTTCTCCTACATTTTATAAAACACTAGACCATTTCCTAACTCTCCACTTTCTTTCAACACCTCCTCTCTTTTCTAGTAAACCATAGTAATTGGTAGATAGTTAATTCTCTATATACAACAATATGAAGCTATACTCCATGCATTCTTTGCTCAAGTTTACACTATTTTCATTAGCTTTGTTATACTTTTGTACTAAACCTGTATATTCTACCTCTAGAAGGGTCCTTGATCAAGTGAAAGCGACCCAATTGGGCTTCCGGGTTACCCTAAAACACGTTGATCATGGGTCAAATTATACCAAATTTGAGCGGATCCAACGAGGCATGAATCGGTCTAAGTTTAGGGTACAAAGGATGAATGCAATGGTCCTGGCTTCAGATATAGGCACTTATGATGTTGAGTCCAAAGTTCATCCAGGTAACGGCGAGTTTTTAATGAATGTTGCTATAGGAACCCCACCTAACCAGTTCTCTGCTATAATGGACACTGGTAGTGATTTGGTTTGGACTCAATGTAAGCCTTGTGAGGAGTGCTTTGATCAATCCACACCCATATTTGACCCATCTCAATCATCCACTTATTCCAAAATGTCTTGTTCTAATGACCTTTGTCAAGCCCTCCCTTCATCAACATGCCAAGATGGGTGCCAATATATGTACACATATGGGGACTACTCCTCAACCCAAGGGATCCTAGCCACCGAGACGTTTACATTCGGAGGGTCCGACAAAGTGTCGGTCCCAAACATTGGGTTCGGGTGTGGGGCCGACAACGAGGGTAACGGGTTCAATCAAGGTGCTGGCTTAATCGGGCTAGGTCGAGGCCCATTATCCTTAGTGTCACAACTAGGTGAGCCCAAATTTTCTTATTGTTTAACCTCAATTGATGGGTCCAAAACTAGTACACTATTAATGGGATCCTTAGCTAATGCCAACTCTACATTATCATCTAGTAACTCTAAAGCAAACAATGTTATGACAACCCCACTACTCCACAACCCATCACACCCATCATTTTATTACCTTAACCTCGAAGGAATTAGTGTAGGGTCAACTCGCTTACCAATCAAAAAAGACCTTTTTGCCCTTAGTGAAGATGGGAGTGTCGGGATGATTATTGACTCAGGAACTACAATCACTTACTTAGAGGAAAGTGCATTTGATCAAGTGAAGAAGGCTTTCACCTCACAAATGAACCTCCCATTGGATGATTCGGGCTCGGCCGGGCTTGACCTATGCTTCAAAATGGCTAAGGATACAAAAAGTATGGACGTCCCAAAATTCGTTTTTCACTTTAAGGAGGCAGATCTAGATTTACCTAGCGAGAATTACATGATTGGAGATTCGGACATGGGAATTTTATGCTTAGCAATGGGAAAATCAAGTGGGATGTCTATATTTGGTAATGTTCAACAACAAAACATGATGGTGGTCCATGATCTTGCAAAGGATACACTTTCTTTCGTTCCCACTCAATGTGATGCATTATGAATTTTCTTCATCATGAATGGATGCATGCATGATTATAACTTCTTGTAATTATGAGTTAGCCTTTAATTTTACATATATATAATGTCGTTGTTTTTAATTTTTTAGGGGGGTCATTTTATTTAGTATTCATGAAATGAATTTGCTTCATAAAATTGTATCCTTGTTTAGTTGTTCTAGAGCTATATTGGCCTCTTCATATACTAATCACACATGTCAATAATTCCCTCCAATTGGGGTTTTTTTTTTTTGACAACGGCAATTCCCTCCAATTTGTTGGTGACTTGTTTTTCTTTAAATTCGTCATTTTTGTCAGCTTATTTGGTTACACTTTTGTAAAAAAAAAAAAAAAAATTAAAAAAAAAAAATAATAATAAAACTTATGTCGGTGTATGGTCAAAGACTCAAAGGTGACTTGATTGATTTTCATGCAAAATGAAGGTAAATTGTGGAAACATGTTACCCCTAGTTTTAATCAACAAGGAAAAGTATTTATTGGTTTAAAATGGGTAATGTAAAATAAAATTTGACGATGGAGTGATCTGTTTGTTCTTTATTTTAATTTATTTGTGTAATGTTTGATTCCACATTAATACTCCGTAAAACTAACAATTTTTATGTACGTAAAATAACAATTTATGTATCTCAAGGGGTACTTCATTGTTTGGTAAAAATATAACGAAGGTTGAACATTGTCCCTAGTCTAATGTAATATACAATCAATTTTTTTAGACCAATAGTAGATTTGATAAGTTAAATTAATCATGGGTGCACGTCTCATGTCTCATAAAAATGGATAATTGAATTTAACATTCTTGCAAAAACTAAGCAAGATAGTCAATGTTAGGAACTTATCACAATATCACGCTATAGACTTATAGGGATGAAGTAATACTTTTGCAAAAATGGAAAATCCAACTTGTTTGTTCAAAAATGTTGTTAGATAGCCTAATTAGCATCTTTTGGTTATGTAAAATCTTGACCAATTATAACACCGGATAGATATAATACTTTGCATACATTTTTGAAAAAAGACTTGTTATTAATAATGGTATTAGGTAATAGGTATATGTCAAATTGCTAAGAATATACTTGTATTAATGTACTTTCCCATTGTTTGATTAATTAAGGCTAGAGGAACTTGTTAATAATAATTAGAAATGCATGGTTTTCTTTCAAAAAAAATTATGGTTTGTTCTTAATGGACATGATTTTGCAATGGATTTGGGCCTAGTAGTAGTAAATTAGTGACAAACAGCCTTGCTTGTTAAATAGTCCGTACAGCTGTATCCAATAATGTGAAGATGTCATGCTTATTGGCTTGCTATTGCTAAGCTCTACTCAACAAGTAATTATTGTATGTCAATTGTCAAAGTCAAACCACTCGTCTACCAACTTGTGTCGTCACTTATTTTTTTGCCATAATATAGTGGACGAATCCCTTATACGAAATACGGGAGTATATATTATTACGGGCTGACCTATTATTAGTTGATGGTGTGACGGATTCTAATATAGTAGATTAAGAAGATTCTGATTACTGACAATGCATTTATAACTTATTGCCATGAAATAATAGCCGTAGTTAGGGGTGTTCAAAAATTTGATCCGAACCGACCCCAGACCGGACTGGACCAAATTAATCGGTCTGGTCTTTGGGTCGAGAAATTTATTATTCCGGTCTTCGGTCTAGTCCGATCCAAAACCCTATAAAAAACCGTTCTTGGACTGGACCGATTTTTTGCTTAAAATTATACATAAAACCTTTAATAATAATTAAGATTATCCTTAACAAACAAACTTAGTTGTATGAGTTTTTTTATACTAAACATACAAAAAAAAAGGTTAAAATATTGTTTTTCCTTTATATTTTTTCAAGTTTTCTATAATTTATTTAAAATTTAGGAAATTTTTTATAAAAATTCTAAAATCGGTCCAAACTAGTCCGGTCCGAGTTTTGGACCGATTTTTCAATCCGGTCCGAGTTTGATCCTAGCTTAATAGGTCCGATTTTCGGTTCTTGAAATTCAATTTTTCGATCCGATCCGGTTTTGGATCGATGAACAGCCCTAGCCGTAGTAAGCAATTAGGTTACCGACTTGTATAAGGTTTTGTTTATGTTTATGTTTTGTTTTTATTTAATTTTATTTATGACAAGATAATTCATATAAAGTAATTGACTGATTGAGAATGATAAAGAGTAGGAATATAGTTGCTGACACATATAATGAGGATGAGGTTGATTTCTTTGCATCAATAGGGATTAATAGGTTATTGACAAGTAGTTTTTAGAGGGATAGTTATAAACGTAAAATAGGGCTATTAATAATATCTTGAAAACAAGCCGTTATAATCAGTATGAAAAAGTTCACATGCTTGTTTGGTTAAACATACAAAGTTAATACTCTCTTGGTTTCACAATATAGTTTCTGTTTTTCTATTTTGGAAATTCAAAATATTGTTCTTGTTTCTATTTTTGGATAGTATGTAAAGACCATTATATCCTCATCTTTTTAACTTTATTCATTGTACTTTCTAATTTACCCTTATATTTTGCACATGCCTTGTACTTTTTTTCCACTTTCTCTCTCTAACTTTTGTTTATGATTATACTTTTCACTTTTATTAATGTACTTCATCCACTTTCTCCTCCTATTTCTTAAATATCGTGAAAAAACACAAACACAAACAGTAGTTTGAGACGGAGGGAGTACTTCTATGTTACTCCATATGTAGAGATAGTAGGGTAGCTAAGCTAGTATCGACTGTCAAGGCATGTACGTGCGATGACACACATTTAAGTAATTACACCAAACTTAACACTCCATAGGTCTTTTTGATATATATTTAATTCTACTTTAGGAAAAAATTTAGATAGATATTAAGGTATTAACAGCTTCATATAACTAATTATAGCTTTAAAACAAGTAATACTACTAACAAACAATAACAAGAACCAAATATCAAAAAAAAAAAAAAAATAGATAGATATTAAGGCATTAACAACTTCATATTACTAACTATAACTTTAAAGCAAGTACTCCCTCTGTCCCTTAATTATATGCCTATTTCTCCTTATTATGTGAGTAATAAATGAAAGAAATAGACATATAATAAAGGGAAGGAGGGAGTATTAATATTAACAACAATAACAATAATCAAATTCAATTATAAATATCTCTATCTTTAATGTATAAGTCAACTCTTAAGGAATATGATATCCAATTATCCATATACTATATCAATCTAAACATATCTTTAATTTTTATACGAGTATAAATTTAAAATATAATGCTTCTATATTACGCGTAATATTTTATCGTATGATTATAGTATACGTTTATGAAATTTAAAGCACATGCTTTTAAATATAAAATAATTACTTTCTTCATTTTTATTTACTTACAACATTTTGACTTTTACACTATTTACGTGTATCACTTTAACCAACTTTAACAATTTATGTTCATAAAAACATGTATCACTTTCACGAGTACTACTACTTTTATATATAGTCTACATCAAAACACAACCTTTTCTGGGTTGGTGAAGGTCAATTTTCATTTACTCCGTATGTGATTTTAACTCCCAAACTAATGCAGATATTTTTTTCCCAATATTTTATTGTAAAAATTTCCAAGTAATTATTTTCGGAGCTCTCTTCTTCTGTAATTCGCCTCCAATTACTGTAAGCCAATCTCTACTCAATTTCTTTTCTCTATGTAATTCTGATTTTATTGATTAATCCAATTGTTATTAGACATCAATTTTCATACGTCTAATTGTATTTTTAATAAATACTCCGTATTATTTACGGATTTTTGTTTAATAATAATAATAATAATAATAATTGTCTTGGTATTATTAAAGATTGGAGATTGGAAATTTGATTCTTCCGTAGACAAAAAATTAAACTTAATTGAATGGAGATGCCTTTCCCACTGTTGGTTTTAGTGGGTGCTTTTGTTGTGGTATGGTTGTCCTTTTTGGTCTCTTTTTATTAGGTGGGTGTTACGACTTAGGAGGTTCTAATACTAATAGAAGTACAATGTTATGCTTGGATTTAATTGTTACATTACTTGTTTTAATTTCGTGATGATTCATTACGGACATAAGGGTATATATGATGGGAGAGGGGTTTTGTCGTTTTGGTATAAAACCTAATTAGATGATGACATTTTAAAGCCACTAGTCAATACGTGATAAAGACGGGTTTTAAATAAGAGGGTACTAACCCAAAAGACTTTACCAACTTAGTTGTCGAATTTTAATGGGTTGATTTTACATTAATTCTCTAATTTTGGCACCTTATGGTAGCAAGACTACCAACTAGTAAGATTTGTAATGGACCTTATGGTTGTTGCTACTTGTGAGTTGATGAATTATGATTAACTACTTTTCTTGTTGTCACACATGCTTTATGATTGATTTATACGTAGTACGTAGTATATCATAGTCAAACTTTGGCACATAAAGTTTATAACTTTGTTCTCAAAGACTTTTTTGGCATTATTTTTAGCAAAAGTTGACTAACAGAGGAGGGAGAGAGATCAACAATGGCATCTACAGGTTTGGTGAAGCTTAATGGAGCATCATCACAATGGATGGGACAACAGTCCTTCAATTCCCATGTCGGATCATCGACACTCTTTACAACTCGCCGAGTTTCCATGCCAATCCGTGCCAGTTCAAGCTCTTATACTGATGAGCTTGTAAAGACTGCTGTATGTTTTTCATCTCAGTTGTTTTTTGTATGTTTTTTTGCTTTCCATGAATTTTGTGTCAATTTTTATCTTTACTGATCACTTCTTGTTGTACTAGCATTACTTAAGTTTGAAGATGTGTATGGTTGCTGCAATTTTTTATTTTTTATTTTTAATTTGGTGCTGAAATGGGTCCATAGATCTTACTGTACATGATATCTTGGGTTTTCATTAAATCTGTCCCCAGTCAGATTCTGGGTTTATTGCTATGACATAACTAAGTGCTCGCTGCCTCGCTTTGTTAGGAATCAGTTGTCATATTGTTTCGATTTCCAATTTACCAAGGAAGGACATGTTAAACAATCTGATCATAGCATTTCTGTTTCTAGAATACGTGACAGATAAAGTTTCAGGAAATCCTAAATTGTATATGTGACTAATAATTCGGAATAAAGGGTCTATGGAACAATGAAACATATAGACTGAAATTATAGTGTATGGAACTATGGATAGTCCATGGGTGACTCTTTGCTATTTTCTGAACAATCTGTGATTTTTGGCCTAATTGCAAGTGTACAGATTTATGTCCTGCGTCTGCTAGACTGCTACTTAAGTATCCAACAGCAGAAAGTCGAATTGAATTGGAATGGCATAATTTCATCCCCAATCCTTTTCTTTGCAATCTTTTACCTTTTGTGGTGATACATTGACAGTTTAATATACCTGATGAATCTGATTGTTTACATATTTCGGTTGATGCACATTGTTGGATGATTGCTCCCATGATCTTACATCTTGAGGACACCTTTTGTTTGGGGTTATCCGGTGGAATGCTTGTGATCTTAAAATACGTTTACTCTTTCTATTTAAATATATCTTGTGGTAATTGTTTTCACCTGAATCAACAATTTGACGTATATGCAAGTCTCATGCTGCTTTTCTTGGCCTAATGAGTAATGACACTAGTAGATAGCTCTGGTTTTTATTCAAACTGCTATTGATTTCTGAGTTGACTGTGCAGAAAACTATTGCCTCTCCTGGACGTGGCATCCTTGCCATCGATGAATCAAATGCAACTTGTGGGAAGAGATTGGCATCAATTGGCTTAGATAACACAGAAGAGAATCGTCAGATTTATAGGCAGCTTCTACTGACAACCCCTGGCCTTGGTGAATATATTTCTGGTGCTATTATGTTCGAGGAAACACTTTACCAGTCTACAACAGATGGGAAGAAATTTGTCGACTGTTTACGTGATGAGAATATTGTTCCTGGCATCAAAGTCGACAAGGTATGTCATAGTTACACGTCTTCCACATTTTGACAGTTGCTAGGTGTTGGTGAATAATGCTCAATGACAGATGACCTTCTAAAATCATTTTGTCACTCTTTCATTTCCAGGGTTTGTCTCCTCTACCAGGTTCGTATAATGAATCTTGGTGCCAAGGTTTAGATGGGTTGGCGTCAAGATCTGCTGAGTACTATAAACAGGGTGCTCGTTTTGCAAAATGGTAAGCCAATTTTAGATGCATTAGACCTGTGAGATTTTCTTTCCTTTGTTTTCCTCCGTTAGTTAGATTACTAAGCCATGAAATTCCTATCACAAATGTAGGCGTACAGTTGTTAGTATTCCATGTGGACCTTCTGCTTTGGCTGTCAAGGAAGCGGCTTGGGGACTTGCTCGTTATGCTGCTATCTCTCAGGTACAAATTTAAGCTTTATATAAAGTAGGTGATGTTGGTGGTTGTCTCTGTTCAAGCCTTCGAGGCCTTGATGTTCATAGGATCAAGACTACAATATGCGCGCCCAAATTTTGCATATTGTTCGATGAATTATAGGATCAGTTGGATTCATTCTGCGACATATGAGTTCAATAAGCGCTGACATCTCAAGTCATATAAGCATATGATGCCTTTGATTCTGTTAGTTCTTAGGCACAAGCTTGTTCAATGTGTTGAAATGTAATGAACATTTTTTAGACTTTTAGTACACCGGAAAGTGGGTATGAAAAGTTTGCTAGTTGGATCCTTGCCACATAGCTTTTAACTTGAATGTCCAATGTGCTGCCTCTTGAGTGAATGCTGAATCAATGAACCAATTTGATTTATGGATCAGTGGTGATCCAAATTTTCTTTGTCCTGACTTCGGAAAATAAGATTATTTTGACAGTCTCCCTATTGACATTTTGAAAAATTCAAACACAGATCATTACAATAGTATATAGTGTGACAGCCTTTTTTCAGACATTTTGAAGTAGTACGTGTGGCCGTGACTATAGGAAATAATTATGGACCAGTGTTCTGTATTCCATGAAGATAAACACTTTCCATTTTGGTCTCCTTTCCATATTCCACACAATCCTTATGGTTGTTCGGTAGTCAGTATCCTAATCTCAACTATCCCACACTTTAGGGAAGGGATGTACAGAGCTATCTAGTTGCGGACTGTCTTCACATTTGCCGTAGGTAAATTATGAGTTTTATAAACGCTAGCTCTGAGTGAACCATAAGCCAGGTGAGCTAAGTGTCTGTAACTGTCTTTGATGATTATAAATGCTTCCCAAGTAACTTTGAAGCTAGATTTCATCTATATGTACTCTGTAAACATACAATGACACGCTAGAAAATCAGTGTTTAGTTCTTAACCTTCCATACTGCTTATAATGTGTACATGTCTTCCTGATGTTCGTGTATGTTATAATTCTCTCAGGACAGTGGTCTTGTCCCCATAGTGGAACCAGAGATCCTTCTTGATGGTGACCATCCAATTGAGAGGACACTTGATGTGGCAGAACGAGTGTGGTCTGAAGTCTTTTACTACTTGGCTCAAAACAATGTTATGTTTGAAGGAATACTTCTCAAGCCTAGCATGGTAACGCCTGGAGCTGAATACAAAGAGAAGGCTTCTCCTGAGACAATTGCTAAATTTACCCTTCAAATGCTTAGGAGAAGAGTGCCTCCTGCTGTTCCTGGAATCATGGTATGTTTGTGCGCACTCTTATCATGTTTTAAAACATAACATAGGCTACTCAAACGATTAATTTTGAATGTTCAATGCTGATAATTAAAATTCGGGTACAAGAAAACAGTAATAATCTTTCTATGTTCTAAGAGTAACAAAATCATGTTCTTTCTGTTCTTAGTTTTTGTCTGGAGGACAGTCAGAAGTGGAAGCCACCTTAAACCTCAATGCGATGAATCAGAGCCCAAACCCATGGCATGTCTCTTTCTCTTATGCTCGTGCTTTACAAAACAGCGTGCTTAAGACTTGGAAAGGACGTCCTTGGAATGTAGAAGCAGCTCAGAAAGCTCTTTTGGCTCGTGCCAAGGCAAACTCCCTTGCCCAACTTGGGAGATACTCTGATGAGGGTGAGAGTGATGAAGCACAGAAGGGAATGTTCGTCAAGGGCTACACCTACTAAATCGAAGTTTAAAGCTAAATATATACATCTTTGATACAATCACAAAAATTAATTAATAGATTGTTCTCTCATTTGTTAGGCTAGCTACAATGTTTGAATCTCGGCCTTCTGGTATTGGCGTAATTGGCATATGATTGTTGGTTTTAAAAAAAATGTGATAAATTTAACTGAATAATGTCTTTTTGATGAGATTTTTATCTCACTTATATTAAGCTGTTTGGAAATATGAGGAAATGTTTGGAAATCCAATTGTTCAATTAGCAAAACAAGGTGAAAATTCTGTTGTTTGTGGCATGCTCTTGTGCTTCATTCATTGAAATATACACTGAGGAGGTTTCTACAGAGATCCAAAATTAGGCTTAATCCTTGATAATCGAAGATGGATATAAAACTAAAGCATTCATAATTTCATAGTACAACCGATTGTATTATGAGAACGGTCTCATTTCATGACGTAGTCTTAGATCAGATAGAATATGGCTCGATTAGTTCTAGCTCAAGCTTACTTTTTTCGGACTCATGGCCTGACTATATGCATCAGGCGGAAATGGGCCCAAGCTACATGTGCAATGTCTAAGCCTGTGAAAACATAGCACTCTGATGCGATGTCATGCGAACATGTGGGATACAGATACAGAACTGGCCTGGGTTAAGTGCCTAAAAGGCAAAAAGTTGAAGGAAATATCTAATGACTTTAAATAAAGATGATTAAACGTAGATCCATTACCAAATCCGACTTTGTTACTTTGCGTCGGATTAAATTAGCCTAGCAATACAGAGAGAACTAAGACTGACGTATATATAAATCTAAGGTGTTCATTCCACCCGAGTGTAAAATTACATCTTCTCACTTTTTTAATCTCCATGCGCATTGAACATATTAAAAGCATGAACAATTAAACATATGAAAAAGAAAATGTAATAGCGTGTTTTAAATTACACACGGTCGACACGGATTTAGGATGGAAAATGCGTATTCACGTAAAGCAAAGATGTAGCTATCCAAGCTTGCATCATGCTAGTGTTTGGCCTTAACACAGGTGTTTAGAAAAAGGCTAGTAGGTGAATTGGCTCTTTTCGTTATGAAAAATTCGTTTTAGTCAAAATCAACTGCCAACTTTGGAGGCAAATGTATTCCTACTATCCCTATCTATCTAATAGGCACAACACTCAATTAGCCCATCTGAGAAATATGTGGATTTAACATTGAAGAATTCGAAACTTCTGTTTTGAATTGGACCACTTTTTATTTCCCCCCTTAAATTCCTCAATTACCACATTTTTCCAAATAACTAACAAAAATAATATCAAAAACTTAATGCTATGTACTCCCTCGTCGAAATTTAGTTGTCGCTTTGTTCCAATAGTCCCTTTGTAACCTGTAATGAATATAACTTTTTTGTTTTTTCAATCATGGACTATTTTTACTATTTTACGAAATGTGACAATTTTTTTTTTACAGGCATTGTAAAACAGCATTCAGATTAGTCGTTTAGATAAACATGGGATGTTTGTTACAGATATAAGGCAAAGTTTATCCAAAAAGTTTGCAGAGGAGTGAATGAGCTAGTAGTTAGTGATCTCATGCACATAAATGTGAATTCTTACAAACTTTTATTCTACCACTTATAAATTGAGGCTTATCCAAAAATGGATTTGATCATGATCCAAGAACTGATCCACCAAATGCAGGTAACTGGATCAGATCTATTGACCTCTATTATGGTTTATTTTAATCTAAATGTAACAATGCAACCGCATTAACATTATTATTTATTTTATTTTTTGAAAATAACCGCATTAACATTATTATTTCTGTACATTTACTACATTAAATACAAGCAGCGTCTAAATTGAATTGCTAATAATATAAGGTCGTCATGCATATATGTGATATATGTGATCCATATAATATATATCTTGTAGTCCGACTTTGAATTTAATTTTTATGCATGGTATGTTTGTTACGTTACAAATTCTTGATAATGGTAACCACATAGGATTCAAGCCTTATCGATTAGAAAGGTTATTTGGATAGCTTATTCTTTTAGACAGGAAGATAGTAATGTTACACGGTTCAATTTAATGTACTCCCAATCTTTCGTTGGACGTGTTTAAAAATATATATATGTTGCTGCATTTAGTATACAATTGGAGGAATCGTGTTGTCAATATATGTATGGCGCAGAAAATAAAACTACACATAATGAGATTAAACCATTTCATATCATACTATACTTAATTATTGAGTATCGACCTAATGAGCCTAAGATTCTAGTCAAGTTATTCACTTTCTTTTTTCACAAAGTATCTTTTTCTTTCATAAAACATAAATTCTTTCGATTTTGAACTAGTTACCCACCTTTAGCAAGTGAATTATCTTCATAAGAATATGGCCGACTCAAAAGTTTTGAAATTTAAAGGTTATAATTTGCCTATAAATTTATATAATGGGACCACCAAAGATCAATTACATATTATATTCTGTATACAATATCCGAAATACAAAAAAATATACGAAGTAGAATTAATAAACCCATATATACAGAGTACACGAGTAATATTAAGCACACATCATAACTAGTGCGACCCTTACCTAGCATTATGCTTATTAACATATATAGTGTCCATTTCTCATTCATGATGGTGATTGGTGAACGTATATAAAGTATGTGCAAGCTAAACAAAAATAGCTGTTAAAACTTATCCTAGTTTTTGCTCTCATGATAGCTGTTGCTAATCAAGGCGGTTAAAGCTAATTCCACAAATCAAGCTAAACGAGAAGCCCCCCCTTACGTTTGCACCAAAACTTATTACAAGTTTAATATAAAGTAACTTCACATGTATTATTTTTAAACTCATAAGCAACATCATTCATCGTGAAATATAACTAACAAAATACTTTTAAGGTATGACTATCGATCTTAATGAGATTTATAAAAATTGAATTTTTGAGCATTTATTGAGATTTATGCTATGTTGTGGATTTATACATTTAAAATTCGGTCTGAATAGAAAAATTAGACCAAACTTTTCTCTGTCTAGTCTTAAAGATATAACCCCGCTCTTTTTCATTGACATACCTACTAATGAGATCTTGACCTAGCTAATTGCAAACACTAAATGTCTATGTTTGATGTACGTACGACATGCCACATCCCACACGTTTGAATTGAATTTCCTTTCCCTATTTGTATGTAATGCCTTTGTGATTCATAACATTCAGACCAAAAAAAAAAACTTCATACTACCTTACTTAGAATTTATCGAAACTATTAAATATTTCAAGCCAATTAAGAAATTAAATAAGTTTCATGATACTAGCTAGGTACGTACACCTCATTAAGCCATTCTTCCTTTTTAAGGCAAGGAGAGACACCTCAAAAATAACTTAAAAGTGTATTAGTTCCTAATAGGTTGCAAATATAATCAAACATATACTTGTCACTAAAATTTCAAACTTATCATGAAATTCTTGAAAATTAATGTATACTAAAAACTTGATTAGGTATCATGCAAAGTATTATTACTTTATCCTAAGCAAAATTCCTTGAACATAGATTATAGTGCACATCACAGAAAAGAATTGAATTAATTAGCGTAAGATAATTAAGTGACCTATCTAGTCTTCATGCTTCTAGACATCATTAATTCGAAATTGGCTTAATATATATAGTTTGACTCAAAATAACGTACCACCACGTAGCATTCTCCACTAAAACTAAAAACATACGTAATTGTTGGACCAAAAAGATATGTGATGAAGCTTTAAAATGTGATATATATGGAGTATATTGTAGATTCTCTTGAAAGCACCTTTCATACAAGTATTTCTTTAGCAACCAACTCCTTTTTAAATTTTCTAGAATTTTGATTGGGGAAGGTTTATTAAATTGTTGCTTTTACTAGTAAAAACTAAACTAATGGGATTAAGAATAATTTTTACTTATTGAAACTAATTTTTTTCCATTAAAATTGATCAATATTGATATTACTTTTTTCAATTAAAAGTGTGTTATGTAAAATTACTTATTGAAATAATTTACTCAAAAAATATATCAAAGTATTAACATAATTATTTTAGATTTTAACACCAGACAAAAACCCGAAAATGGTTTTTAACACCCCCATAAAAAATAAAAAAAAATTATTTTAACACTAGACAAATTTACAAAAATGGTTTTTACCACCAATTAACGGTCTCCGTCCAAAAATTCCGTTAAGTGGGGTCCACAATGACACGTGTCACCATTTTACTTGTTTTAAAAAAAAATTAAAAAAAAATAAATAAATAAATTCCTAAATCTACCCAGCCACCCCAGCCCCATCACTGCCCCTCCCAACCACCTTCACCCAACGCAGCCGCTAGCCAAACACCAGCGCATCCCCTCCCCTTCCCCCTCCGCAGCCCTAATCCGCCCCAAAAACACCCAACCACTAATGGTTGAAACCCTAATCCGCAACCCTCCTTCCCCAAAACGGCCACAAATTCGGCCATTAATGGCTGAAATCGACCGGTTTTGGGGCTGAGTGGCCTTAATCAGCCGATTTCGACCATCAATGGCCGAATTCGTGGCCGTTCTCGGAGAACGATGGCTGTAGGTAGATGGTTTTGGGGTGGTTTAGGGCTGCGGGAAAAGGGTGGGGATGGGTTTAGGTCGGTCGGTGAGGGAGGGGGAGGTGGTCACCGGTGGCTGCGTCGGTGGCTGTGGGTCAAGGTGGAGAAGAAGGTGGCGGTGGTGGGGCGGTGATGGGGCTACGGTGGCTGGGTAATTTTAGGTTTTATTGTTATTTTTTTTTTCTTTTTTTGGCTAATAATAAAGCGACATGTGGCTTCATGGCCCCACTTAACGGTTCCTAAACGGAATCAGTTAAGTGGTGGCAAAATCCATTTTTTTTAAATTTCTCTGGTGTTAAAATAATTTTTTTATGGGGGTGTTAAAAACCATTTTTGGGTTTTTATCTGGTGTTAAAATCTAAAATATCCTAATTTTAATAATAATAATAAAAAAAAAAAAAACAAGTGTAACAATGTTTTGCCATGAGAATATATTGCAAATCTAATTATAAGGAAAAAAATTGTCACAATCCAATAGATTTTTTTCTGTTACTACATATCGTGGAAGAGAGAATATGCCATCCAATTATCGATCTTAAAAGTATCATGCAAACATTAAAGGCAAATATTTATATGTGGCAAATTTTTATTTATTTATTTTTGTTTTCCTACTTCTCACTCCTTAC